TACTCAGAGTAGTCAAAGAAAAGAAAGGTCAGTCAAGAATATACCCAAAGAAACAAAAGAGCACTTTATTTATTATGCAAGAATAAAAGACTGCATAAATGCATATGTTTTTTTCACTGATCTTTAAGGGAATTTATGCAACAATATGCCTGAATATAATTATGATTCTCACATCTATAACATATCTTTGCAATATCTTTGTCAGTCTTAGCACAAAGAAAGTAGGAGAAGCAAAGTTGTGTTTGATTGAACAAATGAAAACAGATCATAAGGTAGTCAATGTGTGTGTGTGTGTGTGTGTGTATTCTCAACTTTTATGTAAGGAATAGACTTATATGAGGTAATAATTCCATTTTATATGTTTTATGTTTGTAATATATGTAGATAGGCTTACTAACAAGCGTATCAAAAGGAATGGAGCTCTTTTTTCTGTCTCACTGGAAATAAGTTAGTATCTTTTTAAAATTGATTGATATGTGAAGATATATATATGGAAATCCCTATAGCAACCACTAAGATAACTACAAAAAACATTGTGGAAGACACATTAAACGAATCAAATTGTTACACTGAAAAATATTCACATAATGCCAAACAAGTAAATAAAGACAGATTTAAGGAAAAAAGTAGGCATATAGGAAACCAAAAGGCAAATGACAGTCATAATACAAATATGTAACAACATTAAATATCACAACCCAAAAGACAAGGATTTTGTGACGAAATTTTTTAAAAATTAAGGTTCATATTTATGGTATCTGTCAGACACACTTTAGTTTCAAAGATACAAATAAGTTGAAAGTAGAAGGATAAAGATAATGCAAACAGGGCTGGGTTGTAGTTCAGTGGTTCATTGCCTGCCTAGAAAGCATAATGCCTTAGACTTAACCCCAGGACCATAAATAAATATTTTTTAAAAAATCTTGTAAATATTTGTAACCCACAGCAGACAAAACAGTTTCTAAAGAAAAACATTGTTGCTAGAATAAAGAGGGACATTTTATAACAATGATATATAAGCCAAGAAGATACAGTAGCAATTATAAACATATACAAACCTTACAAGACTTAGAAAATATGAAAGCAATAATTTATGTAATCAAAGGGAGCAAAAAAATTCAACACTTGAGTGAAATTGGAATATACTGCTGGTAATAATGGATAAAAGACTAGGCAAAAGAGCAAAAAGGAAATAAGAAACGAAGAATTCTGCATACACAACCTCCATTTGAAATTGTACAAAACATTATGAAAGGAAATGTTTAGAATGTCACTTAAATGGAGAAGGATACAATATATTTAAAGATTGGAAGACTCAGTTTTTTAAAGTTGTCGTATAAAGAGACAACAATCCAAACATTTAACTTACCTTTTATAGAAATTGATAAAGTGATTTTAAAATATGTATGGAAAGTTCAAAGAATCTAGTAATTCTAAAAACTCTTGGGGAAAAAAGTTGGAATATTTCTCCATCTGATTTTTAAAAATACTGTAAAACTGTATGAACTATGATAGTATGCTAATAAAAAATTCATAAACTAATGATTAGAGAATACATAGCCCAGAAATAGACCCACATATGTATGGCATCCATAAAAGCAAAGAAAAAACTCTATAGGCAAGCATTTGAGGGAAGAAATGGACCTTAATATCCACCTCATGCTGTAATCAAAAATTACCTTGGCATAAGTGATAGACCTAAAAATGAAAACTAAAAATCAAATTCTAGAGGACAACATAGAATAACATTCTCATTACCAGGAGATTGACAGTGATTACTTATCAATAAAAAGCAAATCACAATATAAAGAAAAATGATAAATTGTTCTTCAAGTAAATTACATTTCTGATCATCTAAAGTAAATTACATTTCTAAAGTAAATTACATCCAACTAATTTACATTTCTGATCATCTAAAAAATCATTAAAAGAAAAGTCATGTACTCAAAATATTCATATTGTCTACTTCTCATAAACGACTTCTACCTAAAATGTATTTTAAAATTAACAAAAAGTTAAATTACCCAAAACCAACAACAAAAAATTATCCAGAGCCTTGAATAAGAATATCATAAATAAAGTCATCTGAGGCTGGGGATATGGCTCAACAGCCTAAGAACCTGCCTGGCAAACACAAGGTCCTGAATTCAATTCCTGATACCCGCCCCCAAAATCTGAATAGCCAATAAGCATGTAAAAAATTTCGACTATAAATCAAACCAAAGAAATTTTAAAATCATAGGAAAATACCATAAGTGAAAGAACTAAAACTTTTAAGATAGGTAATACTATTGATGAGAATGTCCAACAGCCAGAACTCATAACTTACTGATGAGACTACAAAATGTACAGCCTCTGTCATACTATCATGGAAAAATAAGTACATTTGATAGCAAAACAAAAATAAACAACATCAAGCAAACAAGCCAGATGTTTACATGTCTGTAAATTCCAGCACTTTGGGAGGCTGAAGTGGGAAAGTGAAAAGTTTCAACTTAGTCTGGACAATTCAGCAATTTAGCAAAATGCTGTCTCAAAAAAAAAAATAGACTAAGGATTAGGGACATAGCTCAGTGTGATGGCCCTAGACTCAGTCACCAGCACTGTTAAAAAGAAGCCAAAGACTTTTTCCACACAAATCACTACAGCATCATACTATAGTAAAGACTGGAAGACCTCTAAATGTTTTGTAACATAAGAATGTTAAATAAAAATTGTGGTACATTTCTTTAATGATTTGATGATATTTTAGTGGCAAGGGAAATTATTTTTAAGATAATGCTATATGGAAACACTATATAAAACTATATATGGAAAAATATAAATGATACTTTTTGGATTAAAAATAATCATGAAATGAAGTAAATAATTCCAAACTATGATGAAATTATATAATTTTTAAAAATTCCTCCCTTTTACTTTTCTATTTATAAGTTTCTATACAAACAATTACAACTGTAATCAGAAAAAACTTACACATTTTTAAATAGTGTTTTAACAATTGAATGGTGATTGATGTAAAATATTCAGTGTATGGTAAAATATCCAGTATATTAAATTATCACATAGAAATAGTTTTTCTGTTAGTAAGTCTTTTGAACAGATAATCAGGTGAATGCAGCAGGAGCTAGGGAAAACAATCATTTCAAATGACAGTACAGAAATAGAAAATGTGATATTTTTCTAGATAAATGGACATTAGCTCTTTAACCATCAAATTTTTATTTGAAATCTTTGGCAAAACTCTAACATATACTTTATTTTGTATCATACCTATTAAATATAGTGAAAAAATATAAATTCTTCTATCTCTTCAGTGTATGGATTTTGATCCGTATAATGAATATAATAATATGACTTCCCTAAAACAGTAGTATTATTAGATGTAAAAATGAGATAATTACTGTTACAACAAAGAACATGTGGAACATTAGGCATTCAATAATTTGATAAACTATTTCAATAGTGATGTTGTCAAAGTCTCTATGAGTTCTGTACTTTTACCTTTTCCCTCATTAAACAATTCCAGGTAACTCATTACTGTCATTAACATTGTTCTCTATACCTACAGTTGTCTATTGTTCCAAGTTACTTAATGTTTCTAGTTCAAATAGTCCCCTTCTCTTTATAACTTACTGTTTCTAATCTGTTGTTTCTCATTTGCTATTTTCCTTGCTGATAACAAAGTCTGTTGGTCAATAAACTTTCAAGAATTGCCTGTTGTTTCTATTGCATCCCTATGGATTAATATGTATTGCATATTTAGTTAAAAATTTTTCCTATCCAATTTATATGTTTAGGATAAAAATATGTTCTATATTTTAGATTAAAGAATATCTACTTCCAGATTTATACTAATATTGGTATCAGTGAGTTAGGTGTTTTTGATTATAAATAGAAATTTAGTGAACGAGCATTAACAGTTTTGAAGAAATAGAGCAAACCAAGTGCCTATAATTGGTACACAAAATTTTATGAAACAATTGAAATATTAACACAGAATAATAAAGTATATAAAAATCTGTGTAGTTTTTATGCTACGTTTCAATCAATGACAGACTACATATATTATGGTAGTTCCAGAAGATTTTAAGGAGGTCCAAAGTTTTTTTCACCTTACATTTTTAGCATCCCTTTTTCTATGTTTAGATACACAAAATCTATCACTGTGTCACAATTGCCTCTAATACATTAATATGCAGGACAGGTTTGTAGTCCAAAGCAATATTTATATAGCCTAGTATTCAGAGGACCATACCATCCAGGTTTGTGTAAGTACAAAGAAATGTTGACCTGTAGGTAGTGACAGGTGCAAAATATATATTAATCTATATTCATCAAGATAGTCATGGAATAGAAAGACAGATACATTGTGATGATACAAGCACAACACAGAAAACTACATGAAACAAGCTTAAAAATCTTTTGGTTTGTTTACAAATACAAATTATAGAATAGAAAGTGAAAAATTAGAAATCTCATTTCTTTTAGATATAAATTTAGTAATTTTTCTAAGAAAGAATTTTAGTCAGGCATGGTGGCACATGCCTGTTAATCCCAAATTTAAGAGACTGAAACAGGAGGTCGCTGTGAGGTCCAGGCCAGCCTACATTACATAGTGAGTTCAAGGCCAGCCTGAACCATATAGTGAGTCTCTGTCTCAAAAAAAAAGAAAGAAAGAGAATTTTGCACCACTGTATAAATCACCTAGTATGTAATACTGCACTTTAATAAATATGAAAGTTAAAATCTGTGGCACTTCTTTTCTATGGTATTGAAACATCTCTTGGAAGATCTTTTAAAAGCCAATAACCTTTTCTCCTGAAGTAGAGCATTTTTTATATCTTTTAAAACCCCTTTATATTTCTCTTTATTCTTGGTTTATTTTCTGATGAAATTAGATCTTTTCTTAAAGTGTCTAACTGATTTAAAAATAAAGGGCTTTTATATCTTTCTGTAGTCTATTTTTAATTACTTGTTTAATGCCATTGTATTTTCAGGTTTGACTGAGCTGAATGACAGTCCAGTTCCTCTGGAACTTGAACGCTGTAAATCTCCCACCTCAGGTAAACATGAATGGTATTTTTTAAACTTCTCATAATTCACTGCAATGATCATTCTTTTATTTTTATTATTCTTATGCTATGAAATTCATAGTTTTAGTAGTTATATTTCAGTTCATGAAATTTAACCTAAACAAATCTGATTTCATAAATGAATAGAAATGTAGTGACATCTTGGTTGCTGAACTAAATTCATTCCAAATTCATGTTCAGACCCCCAAAATTGTGGGAAATGGACATATTTGCAATAAGAAATAATGGGACACCAAATAATTAGTTCTGAGGCCTGAAAAATTATACTTATAAATTCATTTTTCCAAGACTTTAACAAATTTCACAATGAGTTTTTTCTTTAACTGTATCGTGGTTCTCAAAGTTTTCCTCTTAGCTTTATTGCTGGTAACACTAAATTTCCTTGTAGCCATAATTATAATATTTTATACAAATAAAATGAAAAAGGCACAGTGACAAATGCTTTAATGTGCTGACACAAACACTACTGTATGTTGTTTGGATGAGGGCAGTGCTCGGACTGAAGTGTTACTCTCTATGTCCTTGGTGAGAGGCAGAACATGACTCATTACCCCCCCCCATACAGATTTTTTTCAAGTTTGATTTACACAGCAAAATTACAAACACTGAGATTTTTTTTGAATTTTGCATTATGAGTAGTAGTAATTGAGATTGGAGCCACTTGATTGGAGGTATTTTTGTAAGTGCTTTTTTAAAATATTTATGACCCAAAATAAAATTAAAATCAGAAGTCTGAGTGCAGCAATTTTAAAGACTTGTTAAAAGTTTATTTTGTAGAAAAATCAATAATGTCTAATAAGTGTCAAATAATATAGTTAATATTATACAGAAACTTTGTCATTCTGGGACTAGAAATGAATTAGTAGGAAATACATAAAATAGGTACAAGAGCTAATGTAACCATTTCATTAGACTGCCATTTTGAAGCATTGAGATTGATTGACAAAGAAAGAAACAGTATATGGTATAGAGTGAAACATCAAGGTAAAATGTAGGCCCATTTAAATATATTTAAAAATGAGACAAAAGATTCCTATAGATGTTTTTAATATATAAAACAAAGAGTTAACAAAAACCTTTAGGCAGTGAAATAGATCTTTGCTTACTTTTAAAATTTTATTTATCTGATTAGTATGATTTTTCTATAATTAATTGTATAAATATATAAATTTTTAAGCACCAAAGATATCAGATATCACTTTGATGCTAAATGGTTCATCTTTTATACGGGGTAACAAAACATTATAATACCTTTTTATTTAATTAGTGTCTATTTAAATTTACATAAATTTTTAAACAGTAAAACATAAATGTAGATTTTTAGAAATTAATTTAGAATTAGAACACTTTTCCACCTTTTAAAAGTTATTTATTTTTTATTCTTATTTTTCATGAAACTAGGTTATGTTGAACTTAGTCTAGTGTAAATATTTCTTTTAACTTTTAGTTCTTATTTTATGATTTTTATTTTAAAAACTTCCTTTCATATTTACTCTTCCTTTTGCATTCTCATTGGCACCATCTTAATTTTAAAAATTAAATCAGCTTATACCGAGTATTAAAACAATATTCTAGCAGATATCTCAGCTTTCCCAACTGCCTTTTACAATCCATTTCACTGTCATATAGCAAAATTAATTTTCTTAAAATATTATTGAAATCACATTTTCTCATAGATAGAAATCTTTAAAATATAGTGCAGTATCCTATGGCATATCTATATAATTTCACCTTCAATTCTCATCCACAATCTGAATTTAAATAGTAATGTGTTTGCCTGGTTTAAACATCAAAAAAACTGAATAGAACTGTCTTTCCCATCATGTCCCCAGACATTATTTCTCTCCTCCTGAAAAATAATATTATTAGTTCATTTACCTTTCTAGGCATTTTGTATCTGTAAACAAACTAAAAAAATTCTATTTAGCTTCTTGTTTTTTTCACTTTGCTGTAGCATGCTTGTCTCACTGTACAATGTAACTTGTCTTTCAGTTTCATTTCATTAAGTATTTCTGCTTTCTTTTTTGTGGTTATATGATGTTGAATTATATGCATGTACTGTAATTTATTCAGTTGATCTGTTAATGGTCATTTAGTTTTGTCAGTTTTCTGCTATTATAATCAATGGTGTCATGACAATCTTAACACATACCTCTTTTTAAATATGTGTGATTACCTATATGAGAGAAATTCCTAAAATTAGAGTTTCTGAGTAAAAGAATATGTGCCTGTCTGATTTTTATAGATACTTCCAAATTGTTGTCCTTAAGACTTGCAAGATTTTTATCCTAGAAATGGTATGCAAATATTGGTTGTCACTTTTAAAAATTTTTACACACCTAATATGTAAAAAGGATATGTCAGTGTTACTACAGTGATGGGCAATATCTTTTTATACGCTTAAGAGCTCTTGAAATCTTTTTTTCTTTAAACCATCCATGTATTACTTTGTTCTTTTTCTATGGTATTATTATTATGGTATCCTTTTTAATATCAATTTTTTTTACCTTTTCATAAGGTAAGAGAGTATCTCATTGTGATGTGTAATTTGAATATTTTTCTCAATTAAAGCTTTAATTTTGTGATATCTTCTTGAGAAGTATTTGTAACCAGACATTGATCTTTTCTTTTAAGAATACTTAATGCCCAACAGTTTGTATACTATTGGGATTATTTAACATTTGGATAACATCAATCAACTAAGTCAGTTACCTGTTGTAATTTTATTTTATATACCTCTTTTCTCTCTAAAGAAAAATAGTTTCATTATAGTAATTTTGCAAACAAATACAAAAGCTGAGATTCTATTTTTCTTTAATTTGACCGACAGTTGATGTATTCTAATTTTTATGTACCTCAAATAGGTTTTATATTTCATTTTTTAATTTACTAATTTTTGCTTTTATATTTATTAGTTACTTCTTTCATTTGGTATATCTTATTTTTCTTTTCAACTGTCTCATATGGTTAAATTTTTATGCGTTCTCTTTCTTATATGTTGATATAAGAATTCAATGCTAAATTTCCCTTGAAACTCTTCATTGCATGCATCACATAGTTTTTCACAAGTTGTGACTTTCTAGCATTATTGTCTCTGTATTAGGCAATTTATATTTTTGGCCCAAATTTAATTAAGATAAATTTGTGGCATTAAGTAGCATAAGTGTTACTTTAAGACTTTCATGTCATTAAATATACTCTGATTACTTGGCCTGTCACAAACAAATAATAGGTGAATTAAAATATAGTACTGTCTATACTTATTTCCATTTTCTTTGTTGTCTTTAAAGATATTTGTGCTGTTATTTCATGTGTAGATATTTGAAAGTATATTTACATTTTAAGCTACAACTTTATAATTAGCTATCATTAATTTCATATCATATGCTTTTTATTTCAATGCCACCTTGTTCACTATTACTGCAACTCTTATTTCTCTAGATTATTATCTCTTAGACTATTCTGGAATACCTTGAATCTAACTTTTTTGAGTAAATAGTTTTTATTCAGGTATAATATATAAACCTAAAGTAAGAGATTTAACCTTATCCTAATAGTTCAGCTAGATTAGTTTTACAGATGAACACACCATAAAATAATACCAGATAGAATCTCAGAAACCTCTCTCATATACTCCTTAGCTACTAGCCTCCACAAAGATACTTATTATCATCATATCAGATAGTTCTGGGAATTTATTACCATAAGCTAATATTGTGGAAGTTTCAGAATGAAATTGTATTTTTCTTGTTTCTTATTCACTCAACATTGTATGTTTATGTATACATATATATACATACATACAAACATATAATATTCAACTATGTTGATGTGTGGTAAGTGTTGTTATGTAATATTTAGTTAGTTTTTGGCTTACTATTACAAATAAAGCTGATATGACCATACTGGTACATTTTAAATACAAATATAAACTCAGTTTACTTGTGTATATGTATCTGAGAATGGAACTTGAGGGATATAGGAAATGTAGATTTTCCACTTTAGTAAATACTACCAATGAATTTTCTAAAATAGTTGTATAAATTGAACTTCCAGTTGTAATATTTCAGAGTTCTATACTTCCCATACACTTGTCGGTGTTTAACATTTGGTATTTTTTAAACTGTAATCATTCTATGGTGCATATAGATTATCTCACTGGAATTAAATTGAATTGCGTATTTCCTAATGTCTAATGATCTTAGTGAATTTCTCAAGTGTAGTGACTATTGATACCCTCTTTTATACATAACTCTTTTGTTAAGTGAGTTACCAAAATTTTCTTATTGATGTTTTTATTTACAGCAAAAGTGTGTGTGTGTGTGTGTGTGTGTATGTGTGTGTGTGTGTGTGTGTGTTGGGTAGAAGTTTTCTATTGGAGATTTTCTCATTGCTCATTGAATTCAATTTACCAATCTTGTTTTATTGTTAATGGTTTAAATTTTTTGTTTAAAGAGAACCTTTGTCCTCCCCCAGATCGTTAAGCTCCATTTTTGTATTATCTTCTGAAAACCTTACTGTTTTGGCTCTCACAGTTAAGTTATATTTCAATTTGAAATTTATTTCTGTATATAATGTCAGGAAAGAGCTAAGGTAATTGACAAGTTCAATTTACAGGTAAATTACTATTTCCCTCACTATATTAAAGTGAAACATTGTCATACATTAGTGGAATTTACTATGTGTATGGAGTGTGTATGTATGTTCGTGTGTTAATGAGTATATGTTCTATTCCACTGACATGTTTATTATCATTTATTGAAATTTTTAGTTAATTTGTAAGTTTATAAATTTTTTATCTGACTTTTCTTCAGTTTTGTGATTCTCTTTCAACATTATTACAGCTATTCTTGGTTTTATATTTTCATATAACTCTGAAAAAAATTACCAATCAACATATAAACATGCTGAGATGTTGGTTACAGCTTCATGTGATTTTTAGAGCATTTGGGCATGGTTTACATAGTCAA